CTGGTGTGGCGGTCTGGCAGCTATGTTGTTGCCGTCGCCGCCCCGTCGCCGCCTCGTCGCCGCCCGTCGTCTGGGCCTGTGTGGCGGTCTGGCGGCTACGTTGTCGCCGTCGCCGCCCCGTCGCCGCCTCGTCGCCGCCCGTCGTCGGGGCCGGCGTGGTGGTCTGGCGACTATGTTGTCGCTGTCGCCGCTCCGTCGCTGCCTCGTCGCTGCCCGTCGTCTAGGCGGTCTGGCGGTTTGGCGGCTATGCTGTCGCCGTTGCCATTTCGACATATATATATGTGTATATGTATATGTATATATATATATATATATATATATGTATGTATATTCATATATGGCAGAACATAGGTTCTCTTTTCTAGACATGTACAAGGATTCCCTTGTTCGATGTGAAATTCTTATATGATCCGGACTCGTTTGTTTTCAAGCATCCCTTGCAAACGATTGGACGAAGTGCACGCTCGCGCGTTGTCGCGCGCGCATGCCGAAATCCTTCAAAAACCATTCGTTTTGCAAGGCGTTCAGAGCTGTGTGCTTGCGCTCGCGCTCTTGCGAAATCTTATGAATACCACAGGTTTTTTCAACATGTTCATAGTCGGCTATAAAAGGGGCCTCTCGCGCGCGCATGCCGAAATCGTTCGAACGCCCTTACGCGCGTGCTGTCGCAGGAATCCCCTGCAAAATATGGCACGGATTTCGCGCGCGCGTCGTCGCGCGCGCGTCCTGGAATTCGTCAAGAACCATAATGTCCACTCGGATTTCAAAATCGAGTGTCCCGAACATATGAACAACACATGCTTTCGCCACAACAGTTCCTAACAACAAATGCGCTCGTGCTCTTGTGAATTCTTAAGACAATCCGGATTTGTCATTTTCATGCAATACTGCCAAGAAGGCCACTCGAAGAGCATGTCGAACTCATTCGAACACCCTTGCGCGCGTGCGGGGGGTGGCACGATCCGCGTCAAATAGTGCAATGCGGGCCGCTCTCGCGCGTCGGCTGCGCGCTCGTGTCGAACTCCTTCCGGAACCTTCATCACCGACGCGAGGGCGCCGTCATCGTCGTCGGCGGGATCAGCATCGGCGTCGTTGCTTGCCGTGCCGTCGCGGTTGTCATCGTCGTCGCCAGCGCCGCCACTGTCGTCATCGTGCCTACCATGGTGCCGCGCCCGCCCAGGTCGCCGACTCGCACTGAAGTGCCCGCTGGGAAGGGCCCAGAGGTCAGCGCCGCCGCGGCCGCTTCGGTCGTGCCAACCTAGCTGGCCGCTGCGCGCGCGAGCACGCACGGGCTAGCGCGGCCGCGGAGATGCTCATCATAGTCGCCGCCGCATGGGCGCAGTGTAATTGCCCCACGTCGGTTGCGTCGCGTAGATTCTCTTGTTTAAGAGAGCATTGGGATCTACGCCCCCCCCCCCCAAGGGGTTAGCGGTTCACCTTTTTGTATTGGAATTGACGCGTGACTCTGCCCCGTTGTCCACGTTGAAGATGAATTCGCATCGCCCCGGCTAAATCGGCAACGCCCCCCTCGCCCCCGGCAAAATGCGATGCGCGCGCGCTCGGTCATCGAGAGTCATTACTTGTCTAGAGACCCCGGCAACAATTGAACGAAGCGCGCGCGTCGTCGCGCGCGCGCGCCGGAATCCTTGAAGCACATTTGTTTT